AAATATGCTTTAAAATAAATTAATCAGGGTTTAATTTGCATAAGGATAATGGTGGCAAGTACAGGCAGCCACCTAATTTCTGTTTTAAAAAAGCATCATGTATATGAAATAGCAATTAATTATTTAAGTAGCATGTTCAGGAGCAACTGACCAGGAAGCATTCGCAGGGGTTGTGGGGAAGGTGGGTGGGTGGGGCTCTGAAGAAGGGCTCCAACCCAAAGGAAAGTTTATTTGCTTACACCTTAGTATTCTTTAGCCCAACTTTACTTCAATAGGGCAGCAGAACTAATAATGAGGACTGGCTCGTGCGAACATATTACGCCAGTCCTCTTGCACTTCCTGCCAGTTGGTCCAGACACAGTCCAAGTGCCAGTGCAGGTGTTCGAGCCCTACATGGCCTGGGGCCAGGTGATGTGATGGAACGCCTCATCCCATATGTGCCTACCTGGACCCCGAGGTCATCTTCAGGGGTCCTTTCCCTGGGAGTCCCTTCCAAAGGAAGTGAGGCAGGTGGTTACCAAGAGGAGCATCTGTTTGGTTGTGGCACCCCTGGCACCTACTTTGTGCTCTTTATGGCACCAGATGAAAACACTTTTTTCCCCCCAGCATTTTCATTGTTTAACTTTTTAATTTTAGTTTTAAGATTGCATTTTCTCCTGTATCTCTGCAATAGAGGCTGCAATTGCAATCAGGTCTATGCTGATTTGGTTGCAATTGGTGTGGTTTTCTTGTATTATGATAATTTTTTGTTGTTTGTGTGTTTTAAACCCATGTTAACTATCCAGAGATCCTAGGCCAGTGATGGTGAACCTGTGGCCTGTGTGCCCAAAGGGTCATGCAGAGCCCTCTCTGTCACCGTGTGATCACTCCAGCAGCCACACACACATTCGGAAAGATTAAGGGCGCCAGGCAACTGTGTCACTCATTAGCCACGACTCACTGAGCTGAGCTTTCGCGTGGCCAGTCAGTGAGCCGCCAGGGATTTGCTTGGACTGTGATTTTAGCAGAAGGTAGGAAAAGTTGGGAATACACTCAGGTAGGAAATACACTCAGATGCCTTTTTCAGGGCCGGCCAAAAGCTGGTGGTCAGTGGAACGTTGTCCCCTTGCGCTGGTGGTCAGCAAATTCAGGTTTTATTGCAGTGTTGGCACTTTGCGATACATAAGTGGGCTCTGAGTTGCAGTTTGGGCACTTGGTCTCGAAAAGGTTTGCCATCACTGTCCTGGGCTATCAGGCATTATAAAAAGATAGAAAGAAACAAACATTCCACCCTCCACACCCCAAGCAAACAAACAATTGAGTGAAAGAATAAATGAACATATAAATATCCCATCCTTTCTGAAAGCCTCAGAGTGACTTTGCAATTTGAATGCAAACTAGCACTTTTCAGTTTCAGAAATGTCTTGGGGCAGATTCCTAAAAACAGCAGTGGAGAATTTCAGGCTAGCATCTAAATCTGGACTTCTGGGAGTTCTAATCTGCCCCTCTCAGGTAGGGGCGTGGAAGATGCTGAAAGCAACAGAATTTGCTTCTGTTTAGCAGTAGATTTAATCAGACACTTTACGGAAACAAGTGCTTGGAGCAAAATCTAGCAGCAGAATTACTTGCACCATTTTCTTTAGCCCTTCCCATGATATCACGTACACTAATTATTTTATTTAAATTGCATTGTATGTTAACTGTGTTTTTAGGTTGTAAAACATTCTGAGAGCTCATGAGCTGTGAACAGTATATAAAACTTGTTAAATAAACAAACAAATAAAAAAATTAGCACACTTATAGAAAAGACCTCCAGTGCAGGAATCCAGAGTTGATTCTTGCCTGCCCCCACTTCAAAACCAGCATGGGGAAAAACATAGAAGCCCAGAAACAGAATGAGTCAGAAGGGGTCTCCCGGGCCATCTAGTCTGTCCCCCAGCTCCAGCCCGCTCCGCTCACAACATGCCCACCATGTGGACGTCCAGCCTATCCTTGAACACCCGCACCGATGGGGCCTCAACGACCTCCCGTGGAAGCCCATTCCACACCCTCGGGGTCCTGACTGTCAGGAAGTGCTTCCTGGCATCCAAATGGAACCTTGGCTCCCTGAGCTTTGCTCCGTTGGCACGCGTCCTGCCCTCCTCTGCAGGGGAGAACAGGTCTCTACCCATCTCTGTGTGACACCCCTGTGTACATGTGTAAAATTCACCCTCCGTAAAAAACACATTCTTTATTTTTCCACGTTCATAGGAGTAACCTTGGGGAAGGATTTGGAGGGCATTCCATGGGACAGAGGGAAGGCCCCATGGCATTGCCAGGTTAGGATGCATCCTGGATGCATCTCAGCTTCCTTCCCTCCCCTCTGAAGCATCACCTTTGGATGGGCAAATTCTTTTTGCAGCAATGCTTCACTTTTGCCTCTACCCTGCTGTGGCCCAGAGGACTACAGGCATCTGGATCATGCTCACGATCCAGTGAAGCATTGCACTTCTAATCCTGCAAAAGTGGGGTGGGGGTGGGGGGCAGTCTGCAAGCGGAGCAAAATCAAGAAGAAGAAATTGCATGAGCTAGCTCAGCATGGAAGCCATTAGATTTGGAGCACAGCAAAGGAGTCCAGACTTTTTGCTTTGTGTGCTGGTTGCGGTTTTTAAATCAGGGACACATTGTCCTTCTCATATGCCCATTATCCTTTCAAAGGGTCCTTGTGGTCATTTTTCTCTCATTGAGGTTTGCAAAGCTTCAGTGGGAGGTTCATTAAGTGATGTGCGCAGCACCTGCTGCTGCTTTTTTGATAAGGGGTGTGATGCCCCTTTCCCGTCTCCCTTTCTTCTGTCTGCATCAAGACATACGGGTGATCTTCACAAAGAACCCAGCAGTCTCTTTTAGAAAACCAGAATACTTTTCTGTTCTTTTTTTAAAAAAAGACAGAGGTGTTATCAGCAACAGCTCATGCGCTCTTGGGTGGCACAAGCTCAATTCCTGGGAGCAGAAGCCTTTTTTCTGTTCCTGCTTTTGTTCTCTTGCAGATTATTTCCCACTTTCCTTTAACACGTTCACAAAAGTCTTGAAATGGGCTCGGCCTGCAAGGTCCATTTTAATGTTGCCGTCTCCAGTGTGGTTCCCCTGAATGCCGGCGTACCTGTGGACACCTCTTTTGGTGCCTGCAAAGCTCCTTGTACCTTCCGATGTGTACTTTATTTCCTAAGATTTAAGATCTTTTGCTTTGCAAATAGAAGTGCTGCCTTTCTGCACCATCTTGATTTGGGCTTGCAAGAATGGTTTTGTGATTTGGAGCTTAGCTCCTCCGCTCCATTTTTGCCTCATATTTTGGCTCTTGGGCACATCATTTTCCTTCCAGTCTCACCAGTTTGGCTGAGCAATGTGTGAGCAGCAAAGCCTGCTGTGGCAGCCCTTTTTCCCGAACGCCCACAACTTCAGAATTCCAAAAGTCTCCACTGATACCAGAAAAGCTGTGGACTCCTAAGCCTCTTCTATGGCAGTCTGATCTCTTCCCCCTGGAAGGAGTGAACCAACTTCAGCTGCCCTCTGTGATGTTTCTGCAGCTTGGCCAGAAAGTTGCTTTGTGGCTATCAGGAGTCAGATGAGGAGGAGCTGGTTGGGTTTCTGTAGGCCCCATAAAACTTCAGATACAGATCTGGCTTCCTTCCCTGGGCAAATGGCTTCTTGGCAGTGATTGAGCTTATAGAGCTAAATGTCAGGATTTAAACTTAGTTTTTACTGGTCTCCCCCCTCCCCCCGCCATACACACACTTTTAAAGCTGGTGAAATGTGAAAAGTTCCGCTGCAGTTTGTGCAATTTGTGGGAAGTGCCACAATTTGCACAAGTGGCCAGAAATTGTGCAGTCTGTGGCTGAACTGTGTGCAAATTTCCTTGGATCTTAAACATGACAAATAGAACGAAAACAGAGAAGGAACACCAAAAGCGATGCCCTCGCTGGCCTGCTTCATGGCTGGCTTGACTCGGTCGGAGGGGGTCGGTCTCAGTGCTGAGTGATGGGCTCTCATCCAGGGGCCCCACACAGGCCACTTTACCAGAATTGGTCCCTTCCTTCCAATAAGATTCGTCACACATCCTTAGTTTAGTATAAGGTCTACCTGCCATCTTCAGGCGCCGTTTGCCTTTGATGCCTCCAGAACAGATCTTGTTTTTCACTGATTGCATGCTCAATCTCATGAAAAAGGTGCCAGTAAGCATAAAATCCAGAAATCAGAAGCACTTCCCATTTTTCCCATCCCCTGGCAGTGGTTGGGAGCAAACACCTGTCTGCTTTAATTCCAGGGACACTTTATCAATGTTGTTACTTATGTAACACTATTTTGAATCGCCCTTGTGCTCAGAGAGGGCTTGAGGCGATTTAAAATAAAACCACTCATAAGAAAAAAAGAAAGAAAGAAAGCAATTTCACCAAATTGAAACAGATAAAACAGATATATTGATATAAAACAGGGGAACCATCTCAAATTCGCCAGCAGCACTCAGTCACTGAAAGCTCAACAGGGCACTGTTGCTTCTACTAGGCAGCACAGGGGCAAGAACGACAGAAGGAGACAACCCAGACACAAAGGGGATGGACTCCTTCAATTGGGACACATAATAGGGTCGAGCTGCAAGGCCCCCTCCCCCAGTTCCCAATACACCAAACAATCTAGCTGAAAGGTCTTATACCAGTAACTAAACCTCAAGAGAGGCAACTTAACTCCCAGTGGGGAAGAGGTGGGATACTCTGCGGTGGCTGGTGCTTGATGGGAGAGGATGGGCACACAGGAAGGTATGTAGCTTTCAGAGGAACCCCAGAGGGCCAATCTGAGCTTCCTCACCCCTGCTTCACAGCACTGGGTATTTTGTAATTTGCATTTCCACCCAATGACCCAGAAACATGCATTTCCCCTTCAGGTGTATCTGTGGTAATCCCTTTGGAAGAGGAGAGTCAGGATCAGCCCAAGCTAATGTAGCTTGCATAGGAAGACTAAAAAGCTAGATGCGATCAGCGGCACAGAACCTGTAAGGCCAAACTGCACTTTGGAGAAGCTCTTGGGGGACACATCCCAGTGATTGTCAGGGCTGCAAGGAGAAGAGACAGGGCACAAACGCAGAGCAAAACACCAACTTAACTGTGGTCATGGAAAGATGACATGTTCCCTCTGGGAATTGCCTGGCTGGCTGGATTTGGCCTTCCAGGCCAGAGGGCCCCTTCTCTGGCATTAGGAAGAATTCAGCAAAAGTGGGGAGGCACAGACAGGAGTTGCAGCTTCACGTAAAAAACCTAACAGTCCTTTAACCTGCAGCAGCAGCAGCAGCAGCAGCAGCACTGAAGGAAAGCACTACTCCTTGCCACTCAGCAGCCGTTCCCCCAGGGTGTGGAAGAGGGAGGGGCAGGAAGTGGGGTGTTCCTGGAAGACCAGGAATGTGGGGTCTCCTTCACTCTCTGCGCTGCTTCTGTTCCAGCTGGCCTTGATAAGATGACCAGAAACATCGGCGATGGAGACTGGTGGCTCCAATATCTGCAGATTCCCCGGAGCTATCCATGGTCAGGAGTCCAACCACGGGGAGGCGGGTTCGTTCAGCACCATGGGCAGCTCCTCGAACGTCCAGGCACTTTAGCGCAGCTACCCACGCTGAAGGAACTGCCCCACTGCCGTTGCGCATCAACTGTCCCAGCGACAGTGCAGTGGATAAACAGCTTCCATGTAGCCTTGGAAGTTAAGCAGGGTCAGGCCCGGTTAAAATCTGGATGGGTGACTTGAGAATATGATTCTAGGATTATTGTTGTAAACTGCCCAGAGAGCTTTGGCAACGGGCAGTATGGAATGATGATGACGATGATATGATAACGGGCAGTATGGAAATGATGATGACACTCAGCATCTGAGGCCTTCCTTCGACTGCTGCTTCCAAGGGAGGCTCGGCTGGTGTGGAAACAAGGAGGAGGGCTTTCTTTGTGGAAGTCCCCAAATTATGCGATGATCTCATTGCTGAGGTCACTTAAGTGCCTTTGCTGCTATTTATTGCTATTCCAAGTAGCACATGGAGCAGGGTAGGCTAGGGTATTGCCAACCATTTTTCCAGCAGGCAGGACTGGTTTTAGCTGTTAAAACATGGTTTTAATTTATTTCAAGGTCTTTATTGCTCCATTTTACATTGCTTTATATTATATTTTATTGTATGCATCAATCATTGTTTAATACCCAGAGAGCCTCAGCTATGGGGTGGCAGAGAAAGTGACTGATTGATTGATTAAATAAACCACCCCACAGACCATTTACCAGCCTCTGGTAAATGTCTGGCTGCATTACAGCTGGTCATTATAAGAACCACATACCATGAAGAACTGAGGTGTGGGCTCCCCCCACTTTCCTTTTCCCTCCCCATTCCCTTTTTCTTTCATGCCATGCCTTTTCAAAACTGCTGGGATTGATCAGTAAGCCGTGCTTGACGCCTTTGTCCCTCCCTGTTCTCACATGAGAAACCATCCCTGAGGAATCCAACACTGACTTATTTCCACCGGCCCAGAGCCTTACCTGTGTGATTTCTGCCTCACATGCTCCTGGTTGCCTTTCAACTTCACACAGCCATTGGTGCCCGAGGTCTCTTGAACGGAATGCAGCCCCCCCGAATGTTTGCCTTCTGGGGGAAGTGTTGGGCAGCTGGGTGCTTCCGTGCTGCAACAGACGGGCAGAGAAGAACGCTGTCAGTGGAGCATTGTCCCCATGCACAGGCTCAGGGCTGGGCTGAGACATGTTGTTTCCAGGAGCAGAATTCCAAATTATCACCTTGCATTTTCCACTGTCTTGTTTCCTCTTGTGAGGAGCCCAAGGGGGGTTATCTTGTCCTCCTCCAATCCATTTTGTCCTCACAACAGCAGTCCTGTGAGGTAAGTTAGGCTGAGAGCTGCTGATTGGCTCAAAGTCACCCAGCAAGCTTCATGTCGAGTGGGTACTAGAATCTGGATCTCCCAGATCCCCAGTCCAACTCTTGCCACCAGGGACACTGGCTCTCCCCAGATCACTTGGCTGGCCTTGGGTAATATGTGCCTTATGTTATCTGGGTCCCATAAACATCTTTCCCTCTGCTTGGGAACAGAACACAATCCTAATAGATTAACTAACCAATGATTTAGATTCCCCAGCGGCATTTGGCCTATGCACAATGAGATTGCATCACCAGATGCCTCAGCCGTTCTGAGTCTTCGGTGGAGGTCAAAAACTGAACTCTTGGGAGAGCCAATAGTTTTGAGCAGAGGAGCTTGTCCAGGAGACCTGTAGAGCCCTGTGGAAGAACATCACATCTGACTTTTCCCCAACCTTGGGCAACAGCAGGGTTAGTACTGATCGGAGCTCAAGTCAAGGGATGCTGATGGGCCTCCAGCATAGTTAGAAGGCAGCTGTCATGATTGGCTGTAACACTACGATGTGGAAGGAATTGGAAGACCATCGCATTATGCTTTTTCAGTATACTGGGCATGGGTTGACCTACACCTGAATGCAGAATAGCCAGGATGTTGTCCCAGTTCTGGCAGGAGAAGGAGAAAAATAAGAGCTTGGTGCACTTCTATGACACCAGCACCAGCTGCTCCCGGTACTTAATCTCTGCCAAAGGGAAAGCCTCACCCTTAACATGGCATCTACAGGACAGGGGTGCTGAACGTCAGGCCCAGGAACCAGTTTTGGCCCCTCTGGGGCACCAGCTCAACTCTGTGGTGTTTGCCCCTTCCCCTTCTCCTACCTGCTTTCCTCTGAATACCAATTCTTTGGGTTTTCCGGGTGTTTGCGCACTCTGTTCTGCATTCTGAATGGCTGAAATGCCTCTTCCAAGGTGCACTTATTGGCATGGAGAGGCTGAAGCTAGAATACGCAAGGCATTTTTGGACCTGCCTTTCTCCCACTAGAAGGCAACCCTTGACAGCTTCTCTGAAATGGAATGTGGCCCACAGATTGAAGGCAGTTGTACACCCCTTGTTCAGGAGCAGTGGAAGATGCCTGGCACCCCCTCAGGCATTTTGGGCCACAGCTCCCAGAATCCCTAACTGGCCAGGCTGGTGTTGATGGGAGTTGTAGTCCAAATCATCGGGAGGGCATCAAGTTGCATGTCAGGGCTGTAGAGACAATGCAAGGTATGGGCACTTATAAGGGATAGAAGACTCCCTGGATTGAGTGAAAAGCCAAATTTCTTTCTTTCTTTCTTGTATGTATATATGAGAATTTGGTTCCTGATTTTAAGGGTCCTGTCAAACACGTCCCATTAGCAACTTAAAGTGCAAGTAGGACTATTGTGCAATTCCCTGAATTTGCATTTGTGCTCTTGTGTAAATGCACACTTCCCAAATGGGTCTATGTGTGGGTGTGCACTTGCACATCTGCATATTGCACAAATCACCCTGAATTCACATTTTCAGACGTTAGCCATTTAGGAGAATGGGTCTTTCTGGTTTTGAAAACAGTACATTTCTTAAAACTGTGTATTTCCGCCCAATTAATGTGCATTTTTCCTGCTTGATAAGCAAAGACATCCACATTTGAGCACACAGATAAGGTGAAATAACCTTTGAGAGAGAACATGAAGAATCTCAGTGAACAGGAACACTTTATGTATCGTCATTTCTATTAATCAAACCATTTATTTAATTTAAAGCACAAAAATAGGATGGGCAGAGTGGGGGAATGAGTGAAGGCGTGTCTGAGAATTTCCCCTCAAGCATCATCTAGTATCTAAACCTACCTATTTCAATGGCAGCCATTGCTTATACATTTGCACCTGGATATATACATTAATTTATGCAAAGTTGTCTTCTCTCTTGTCCAATTTTTGGGAATACATTTCCTCTGCTTGATTTCCTGGCCTACTGGCCCCCACCACATGTTGCTTTGGGCAGCTGCAAAGGGAAGCCGTGAAACCAAATCCAGCTGTCCATTAAGAGATACCAGTGGTGGGTGATTGGGTTGCCTCTGCCAGGATTGAGTGGGGCTTCAGAAAGCCACGCAACCCTTTCAGATTTGCACAGGCCAATGGTCTTGTCAGGCAGCACTGAGCGCAAGACGCATTCTTGTGTGCAGTGACCTGGCAGCTAATTGTGCCACTGAGCTCCAGCCATGCAGAATCCCCATACGCGGAAAGGCAGTGGGAAAAGCATGGGAAGAGGCGGGCCAACCTGATGCCCGAGAATCACGACGGACCAGCAACAGGCATCCCTGAATCTAGACCCGGAGGCGAACCCGAGGACAGCAAGACAGAGGCGCGTACAGGTGGGAGCTTCAATAAAATGTTGCAGTGCGGAGAGCTCTGGCTTGGGATTATGGACAGCCAGGCAGGACCATTCCAGGAAACTGCATTCCATCCCCTCCCCACTCACTCAGCATTTTGCACTCAGCAAGTGCACCCAGAAAGATTTTTCTTTCCTCCACAGCTCAGCTCTCCCCTCTGCTTGTCACTTTCGGGCTCCCCCACCCTGCCAACACTGCCTTGAGCACCTGTTTCTGATGGGAAGGCAGGACGCAGTGCAAACCATCTAATTTGCAGAACCGCCAGCATTTTGGGGCAGTGGGTGCCTTTGTCATGGCGCTCTCACATGATGGCTGCCCAGAGGGCTTGCCCATTCAAAAATGGCCACAACAGTGGCCACAGCCATTGGCAAAATCTCCCTTTCCCAGAAGGCCAGCGAAAAGTCACATGGTCAAGAACTTACATACAAGGAGCGGAGGGGAGTGATCTTCAAAGCAGTCTTTTGGACCCAGATCTAGATGGCTACCCAGGGCGGGCATTTCAGTTTGCAGCTAGCTGGCCCCAGTAGTGTTTAAAGCATTACAAACCCTAACAACCACCACCACCACAACACCAACAACGAGGAGGAGGGCTGTGGGACACTCAGGGCTTGCTGGCTTTATCCTGTTTGCAAAGAAAATCCACCGGCTGCATTGCCATCCTAAGAGACTAGTCCTCTGTATGCTTGCTAGTTGAAAGGATCAGGTAGCAGGCATGGAAGATGTGGATGGGATCCCAAGGTGCAGTTCTGAGGTGGGATGGAGTGGCTTTCTCTGGCGTGATGCCCTCCATCCAGGTGATTTGGACCACCACCAGCTCCAGTGCTGAGGGATGACAGGGTTGGTACCCCAAAGCATCTGGAGTGGGAGCGGCGTGGCAGGGAAGACTGGCACCAGCCATACGGGGCCACATGGACACGCCACCCAACCTGGTGCGCACACCTGGTGCTCCTTGCCCTCAGTCGCATGCGGGTGGTGCTGGATCAGGGAACAAGCTCTTAGACATCCAACTGTAGGCCTTGTGGTAGTTATGGCGCTATTTGAGTGGGGTGCTTATGGCTGGACAGGGAGGGCTTTAGGGCTGCGGTGTGGGTCTCTGTGGGGAACATCTTTCCTTTTCAGAATCCAGTGCTGCACCTAGCTTTTATACAATAGCCAGTCAATGCAATTCCCCAGTTCGTCATCCAAGGGCTTTGCCTGCCTCTTTGCAGTACCTGGGAGGGTCAGTCTTTGGGCTTTTTTCCTTGATTAAGTTTTCTGCAGGGAGCTTTGTGATAATCCTTTCCTTTGAGATTAGAATAATCATTCATATGAAATTGCAAATGCATTTCCATCAGAAGCATGAAAGTCTGCAAGGAAAACATAAGCTAAACTCAAGCACGCATAAGCATCCAACTGCCACCCCAGGGCCCAATCCAAAGGGTTTACTTGTGTTTTCGTGCGCTGGGGAGATTCGAGGATCAATGAAAAAGAATACTTGGTTGAAGGAAAGGCAGCCTTTGATGGGATCGGGACACAATTATTTCCATCAATGATTGCTTTCAGCCCTGGGGAAATAGTACAAAGCCCCATTCCAGAACCACAGCATATTATTATCCAAAGGCCAAGTATGAATTAACCCAGGAAACAAAGATACTATTAAGTAAGTATCAAAACTGTGTAGTCAAAAGCGTACTTGTGAATTTATTTTCCTAGCACTGTTGATACAATAATATATACTGCCTTGAAGTATGTCAGGCTAAGGTAATGCAAACACAGGCCTGTTAGGAAAAGATCTCAAAAGGGATAAGAAACAGTATCTTTATGAGGGCAAATTAAAATGCACAACGTTGGGATCAGGTTGTTGGGTTACACACAGGGGTGTTTGAGACTTAACAGAAACTTTCTGTAAGTTATTCAAATGTAATCATAGAAAAATGTGGAAAATAAAAAACACCAAGAATGCATTTTCCTCACAGGTTAAAGAACAAAAATATGCATTTTTCAGGGATTTGAATATGTTGAGGGTATTTGGGCAATTTTGCAAATTTGGGTATGAATGTCTTTGCTCAAAATCCGATTCTATCAGTGAACGGATGGTGGAACAAAAGTCATCTGGCAATCTGCAAAATGCAGACAGACGAGTTCTGTAGTTGCCCAGGACTCCTTATGCGTGGCTCATTGATGGAGAGAAATGGGGTGAGTGGGGTGGGGTGGAGGGAAGAACAAAATAGATTTCCGGTAGAAGGCAAAGTGGAAGGCAGTTTACACTCTGTTACAACCTTGAAACAGTAACGAGGGAAGCTCTTTGCAGCCTAATTAGATCTGAATCAATAAACTTTGATTTCTTCAGGTCAGGACACACCTTATACACAGTCTTGCAAGGTAGCACCCACTTAAAAAAAGCAGGACTCATCTATATTAAT